TTTTTTAAGTCCTAGTAAATAGATTTTACGAGTTTAATTAAAAGTAAAATATTTCGCAACAACGCACATTAAATACGTTCCAAAATTTTTTTTTTATTTTTAAATTTACAACAAAATTTTTTTTAATTTTCGAAAATCATAAACAATTATATCGGTTACGAGGATTTTTTAATTTTTTTATTTTTTATCTTTTTGTAAAGAAAAAACTAATTTTTTTTTCTTAATAGTCTTTATGAACGTGGACTTGGCGCGATTTTTTTTTACAGTGAAACTGTTTTTGTTCGGATTTTAGTATTTTTTGTAATTTTAGTAAAAATTTACAATTGGTATCAATTTAAATCTCGCGTTGGCTGCATTTTTATAGCAAACTATTCCCTTGCAGCTACAGTTTATGTAAAAATAATTCTAGCGCACCCTGGCGGGTGTAGATGCAAGTTGTGAAATATCTTTTTTTAACTGTAGTGTCCCATCTTATGAAGGATTACTATGCATTCTCGAATATTTTAGTCTGTGGCAGATCACTTTGCCCATCGACAAAAAGTCAGGATCGAAATTTTTGCGTTGCTATAGTTTGTGCTGATTAAATTTATTAATTTCAAGTAGATTAATTGTTATATGTGAATATAATTAATTAATAACAGTAAAATAAAGTATGAATTACTGTTATAATACACAATTTAGGAAAAAAAAGTACCGTAGAATTAAATAAAATTTTGCAACCTCAAAATACCGTTCTGCTTACAGTAAACACAGTCGGTAGTCTGGCGCTCCGTTGACAACGGATTTGAACGGAACTTGGCGCCAGATTTTACCGAATCTGTGGATCACATTGAAGTTTGTAACTCGGTCATTCTGATGTTAGGCTAAATTTTGTGACAGTTTTCAAAGTGCAGCTCAGACACAGAGAGAATTACCAGCTCGTATGTTTATAACAGTTAATGTGATATCAGTTAATGTTGAATTATTTGTATTTTTATGTAATGTATTTTTTCCTTTAATTGATTAAGCACTCTGAATTTTTAATAATAATATTATAATAATTACAACTCATAGTTCTTGTTTTTCGTTAGATTGTCCGCCAACTACCATGTGAACAAACGTTGATAGGTTTTGTTAGCACATGTTTTTGTTATATTTTATTCTATTCAATGAATCCATTGTAAATAAATAAATTGAATTTGATTGGTAGTGTTATTTTTTTCACAAATTTACCTACTTCCGCCCAAAATAGCATCTAATTTGAATGCTTGATAGCAAGTATACAATGATGAAACCATTTTGATTGCACAAGGATTTTTAGAGTTTGTGATAGGCGATTAAAGATATCTGGAGGTAAGTCAGATTAACAAATTGTTCTTGCAAAATCAATTGTGTGATTTATGAGAAACAGTATGTGTGTAGAGAGCATCTGATAATTGGAGTTTTATGACCGGAATAACCACTATTTCCACCTATTTCGTTTTCGTCTATAACGTTTTTCTTAGAAAAGTGATTACAATAGGTATTAATGTAAGCACGTTTGAAATAACAACTGACATCATTTGAATACTACTGGTCTACAAAGACATGCTATAAAAGCCACCACTGGCAAGATATTACACAGTTATCATCGAACCACTGCGGCGCAATGTTGTTCAGCAAAACCTTACTCGTTTTACTGCTGGCGATCCTGGGTACCTCATGTAAGTATTAGTGATATTTTTAATTATAAATGATTTCTTTTATTTGAGAAATACATAAAAAAAAATGGAAGTGGATTAGATAGTTGATTTTTGTTTCAACAGGGTTACCAGACGGCAGAAACAATGGATTAGCTTCTGCTTGGTTTTGGAATACGAAAACCAAAATTCAAATTGAATGTGTGAAGAATAACGTTTCTACAGGAGTTACCACAGAAGTCCCCAAAGAAGTTATCAAAGGAGGTACCGCAAAAGTGCTCACGATTGGTGAAATCCCTCAGGAAGATGATGAATTCGCGCCTCTGACTGCTGGCATCTGGGTCGCGAATGAATATTATCGGTTACCCAACGCACCTTTTTACAAAGTAGAAATCAAGGAGGGCACAGCACGTTCGTTTACACACGTTCCGAATCCTTACTATAGAGGAGGATCGATTATTATCAAAGATTAATCAGGCATGAATAAGTGCTACTTTAAGCACAGTAAAAATGTCTTCTCTAGAATATTGTATTTAATTTCAAGATTGATAGAAGGACTTGTCCGGTAGAAATATACTAGATCCATTGCAAATAAATAAATTGAATTTAATTGGTAGTGTTATTTTTTTCACAAATTTACCTACTTCCGCCAAAAATAGCATCTAATTCGAATGCTTGGTAGCAAGTATACAATGATGAAACCATTTTGATTTCACAAGGGTTTTTAGAGCATGTGATGGGCGGTTAAAGTTATCTGTATGTAAAGCAGACAAACAAATTGTTCCTGCAATATCAATTGTCGGTAGATGTGCTCTAACCTATTGATGGATTTAAAATTATGTGGGTAGAAATAAAAATGTATGTTGGAATTTATGGTAATTTATTTTTATTATTGAAACTATAATATAATGTTTACAAGAGTTATTATGTTTATGAACAATGAATCTATTAAAGTTAACAAATTTCACAATATTAAATGTTTATGAGAAACAGTATGTGCATAGAGAGCATCTGATAATTGGAATTCCACGACAGGAACAACCTCCTACTCCTTTTCCATCTGATTTGTTTCAGAATAACTATCAAGCAGTTGATTATCAGCTAATGGTTTATATTGTGGACCTAGTTCTGGAAGCGGAAATGAGTTTGCAATGATAGCAAGATTTCCATACTTATCATTGTTTTTAATGACCACTGCTGCATTCACTACTCCACCATTTTCATCGATTTGTAGAAATTGCATAGAGTATGCTGTGCCATCAAAGTTAGCTCTATCAACGCTTTGTTCCGATTGACGCGCTTGAGGTTCACCGGTGCTCTTAATGTTTTCATCAGATACAGTACGATACATTGAATTTTGAGGAGCACTTTGAGAAATGTCACTGTTGGATGCTTTGTCTGAACTATATTGACTGTAGTATGAACTAAGCGGAACAGATTGTTGCATTATTTGTACATTGCCTGCCTCGTTGTTGAGGATCGTTGATTGTGAATTTCCAAATCCGTTAGGGTTGTTTAATTCAAAAAAAGAACCAGATAGTGGTCGAACTGAAAAGTCAGTGGGTGGGCCGTTGATTAAGTCATTTGATTGTGAAATTCTAGATCCGTAAGGGATGTATGATCCAGGAAAAGAACGAGATTGTGATAGAGGTGAAGAGCCAATGAATACGCTGTCGGTTAAGACATTTGATTGTGCAATTCCAAGTCCGTTAGGGCTTTTTGATCCAGTAAAAGAACCAGGTAGTGGTTGAGCTGAAAAGTTAATGGATGCGGCGTTGTTAAAGCCATTCGATTGTGAAATTCCAAATCCGTAAGGGCCGTTTGTTCCAGGGAGAGAACCAGGTAGTGGTTGAACTGGTAAGTTAATGGGTACACCGTTATTGAAAACATTGGATGGAAGATTTCCCGGGCCACAACCAGTATAAATTGTAGGCATATAACCAGGGAATTGATATGGGTATAAAGCTCCACCGTTCATGGGAGGATATGATGGTGGAGTATTCTGTCTATAACTGTTAATACAGACACAGATTGGATATCCATTGGGATAATACTTAAAAACAGGGTATTGATTATTAGGACAAGATGGCAAGCCCATTGGACCCTGTTTACAAACTTCTAGGTGAGGAGGTTCCGGTCGAACGTTTGTTGAACATCCATGGACATCACCTCTTGTACATGATACTACTTTAGGTTCATCGGAGTCGGTTTCATTATTACGACCAGTATTTGAGCTCTCTGATGGGACATTGGTTGAACCTTCGTTAACATCACCTTCTTCATAGATGCAAACCTTGTCTTTGTTAGTAGCAGGCGCTGAACCCTTCGACGGGACATTGGTTGAATCATCGTGAACATGATCTTTGTTATTATTGCAAACCTTGTCATTGTTAGTAGTAGGCGCTGAATTTTCCGACGAGACATTGATTGAACTTTCGTTATCATGATGTTTTTTATCGTCATCCTTGTTATTGTTAGTAGTAGACGCTGAATTTCCCGACGAGACACTGGTCGAACCTCCGTTAACATGATCTCCGTTATTATCGCCAGTCGCGTTATTTTTGATAGCAGGCGCTGAACCTCCCATCGAGACATTGTTTGAATCTTCGTTAACATCGTTTTCTTTATTATCGCCATCATTGTCGTTGTTAATACCAGGCGCTGAATCTTCCGACGAGACATTGGTTGTAGCTCCGTTAACATAGTTTTCTTTATTATTGCCAGCCTTGCCTTTGTTAGTAGTAGGCGCTGAATCTCCCGACGAGACATTCGTCGAACCTCCGTTAACATCATTTCCTTCATTATCGCCAGCCGCGTTATTTTTGTTAGAAGGCGCTGAACCTCCCGACGAGACATTGGTTGAATCTCCGTTAACATGATCTTCTTCCTCTGATGTGTTATTATCACCGACGAGGTTCTTAGTCTTACAACGAGATGCTTTACATTCTGTCGACTCACCACCAAAGATATTACCTTTTTGATTGATCACAGCTCCTTCTATCTTTTCACCTTTCTTGCCACCCTCAAAAATATTCTCACTTTTCACTAAATCTACTCCTGTTATTTCATTACCATTTTCACTTCTGCCAAATTGGTTCTCTGATTGGTTAACTTCTGCACCCACAATATTTCCGCCTTTAAATTCATTTTGACGTTGATGATGTTTAATACCAGTCACTTGACCAGTGGTCTGATGACCATCACATTTTTCTGTGCATCTTGTCACACGCGGAGCTGCTCGAACCCCTTCAAGAAAAAATCACAACATGATGAATATCCTGTTAAGTCACGTTCAAATTATATTTCACTTCAAAATATTATTCGTGGACTTATGAAACAACACCCAAACTTAAACTACAAACTTTTGCAACACTAAGCTTGAGAGCTTTCAAATAAAATTACAACACAATCTTGAACTATCAGGATAAAATAAATTTAAAACTTCACATACATTCTGCACCGATGATTGTGGCAAATGCCACCACTACTTTTGCGTTGAATCGCATGCTGGAGTGCTTCCCGCACTGGAATGGAGATTTGGGGCTCCACTTTAATATTACTCCACTTTAATATTACTCCACTTTAATATTATTTCCTATCACAGATTTATACGGGTCATTCGGGTCAGCGACGAATTGCGTCAATTGTTTGCTAATTGGCTAGTTATTTATCATGTGACAGTGGACTTTGATCAGAACAATAAACTCTGACCTGCTGATTATAAACTTATCCATTCGGTTGCTATCTGACGCAATTGTTCAAAACGATTTAAATTGAACAAACAATTCTAATCGTTCCAATCGACGACAATGGGTTAAAAGTCACCATTTTATCAAGTATCATATGTAATATATAGTAATTAGGCTCTTTATAGCTATGTTTTTCCATTAATTGGATTTCGAACACAATAACATCAACATCAACTAATGAAAATAGGTTCCAAGTAATAATGAATAATGGACTTGTTTTTGCATGGCTCATAGCGCGAACTGCGTGAGGTCGTGCATTATATCCGACTCGTCAAGGTTAAGCAATTTTGCGATCTTCAAATGCCTCTACCACAACCATATTGTACTTGTACAATAATATAAGTAGATGTACACCGAGAAAACACTTAAAGTAAACTATCTTATACTTTCTAAAATCATTTAATGTTATTATTTTGAAGAAAAAAACGTTTTGAAAAAAATTTTACATCGACGTCCTGATGTCACCCCATTTTGAATGTACCAACAATTACTCCCAAACAAATTGATATTTCGAGACCAGGGTTTTTTTATTAGTTCAAGAATTCGATGAACTGGTGCCGTATTTCAGATCAGTAGCCCAGTTTACGTATATTTTTTTTTTTTAATTGAATTTGTATTAAAATTCATTACGATACACACTTACAAAAACAAACGAACTTTTCTTATTTCTCTCACATGAAAACTATGGCGCCACTTGATCGAGCTAGATTTTTTTAAACGCATGCCCATATAACAAGAAAAACGGGCGCCGATATTAAAAAAAAAAATAAAATATTCTCTGTAAGAAATTATTTAATTATTATTCTTTTGTTTAATCAATTACACAACTCATTTTGTTCTTAAAAAATGAATGAGCGTTATGAGGTGTGTACTTTTGGATTTTCCAAACTTTTTTTTTATTTAGTAGAATCATTTTCCTTGTTATTACGCAAAACATAGAAACAATTTTAATTAGCAAAATTAGCGACAAACATAGCTGATTAGGGAATTAGCATTTATAGATCCACCCACATCTGGAAGTTGTTTGTTCTAGTGAAAGATACTAGATTTAGCGGCCTACTGATATTCAGAAACGTCACATCATATTTGTTTGTCTGTTTAGTATACCGAAAGTTCTAAAGAAAAATATATGATCGTTATTTCAATTCATTATTCAAAAAGCTATAGAAATAATCTATTGATATGTGCTAGTTGGTAGGGAATGATAATTATGCTTTAGTTTTAATTATAGAACTTCGATTAGCTCACATAGATGACATCAGATTTAAAACTTTTAAAAACTAACAGAGGCTAGTTAATAATTTAATATTTATCTCAAGTCCATATTTATAAAATACATTGAAAATAATCACTATCCTCATGACAGCATTGTTAGAATGATATCATACCGTTCAAATATATGGTGACAATCTAGTCATTAATCAGCCATTATATACATATATTTATATATTTATTTATACCCCCTCTGTCTTAACTAATAAAAGGAATAAATATTTTTAAAAATTAAGAATGAGTCGGTGTGAATAAATACTTTTAATTTTTGATCAAATATGATTCAAATTATAATATATTACTAGGGTTACCAATCATCCCAAAATATTAATAAACTCCTTAAAAGATATCCTTAAAAATAAAGCTAAAAATGTCAAAAAACGCTAGTTTAACCCTACGAAAAATTTAAACATGGCTTATATTCGATGTAGCTACATTGAAAAAGATTAGTTTAATTTTTCAGACAAGCTCGTAAAAAAATTTGGTCTATTTTAAGTAGCTTTTTTGCATTTTTAGTAAGCATGTTTCCTGTAAATGATACCTGATATTTTTCTGTTTTTCTAATCAACCAAGCCATTAACAACTTTGTCGTGAATCAGCTTTTTGAATTGTCTCTGGCGATAATAAAATATCAGTAAGCAAAGAAAATCTTCAATGTAAGCCTGCCATTAATCCAGTTTCAATTAGGACAATGCCTAAAAGGAAGTGCCGCTTCAACAACGATTACACACGACAGTGGTCATTCGTCAAGAAGGGTCGCAATGATTACGAGGCATACTGCTGTATTTGTAGCCGCTATATCGCCGTAAGCCACTCCGGGAAGTCGAGCATACGTGACCACGTAAAGACACGCAGGCATCAGTCTTTTACGGTATCTGAAGACAATCCAAAGCACGTAGCGATAAATACACCCAAAGAAAAGTTTCTAATTGACAACGAAAACGACTTGATAAGCGCAGCAGAGTTGACCACTGCTTACAAGATAGTGCGTCATCACCAGTCATTCAAATCGCTTGACTGCAACACCAAGCTGAGTGTTTTGATGTACCCGGATTCGAACATAGCAGCCAGACAGTCAGCAGCACGGACCAAGGCCACGGCTATCATCAAAAGAATCTTGGCACCGCATTCTATTCAACAAATTCAGCATGATCTGGACCACGACGTTCAATTTTGTGGCATTATGACTGACTCAAGCTGCTACAAATCCGTGAAACTGTTTCCGTTGTTGGTCCAATACTTTACTGAAGACTCGGGTCTGAAGATAAAACTGCTGGGAATCAAGACCTTGGCCAATGAATTGTCAGAAACAATCATGAAGTTCTGCCTTGCAACGTTGACCGAGTGCAAGCTTCCTTTGGAGAAAGTTGTTGCCTTTGGTGCTGATAACACCAACACCAATTTTGGAAATAAGCTGCGTCAAACTAAGAACAATGTCTTCAGCCACCTGAAGACAGCTTTGAATCGCGATATTGAAGGGATAGGTTGCCCGGCTCATATTTTGCACAACACCGCATCGACTGCTGCAGATGTGATGTCTATTGACATTGAAATAGTGATTATCAAGCTGTTCAAGTTCTTCTCGATGAACAGCACCCGAGTTGATCGGCTTAAAGAGCTTTGTCAGGCTTCGAATGTTGAGTTTATGGTGATACTTTCCCATTCAAGAAGCAGGTGGCTGACTTTAGCGCCAGCTATCGAGCGCGTCATCAAGCTCTGGGTACCATTGACAGAATTTTTCAAGGACGTTCAACCAGCTCCAGATGTTGTTTTCTTGAAAAATTTCTTTGAAAACCCATTGGCTGAATTGTACATCGTTTTTTTGTCGACTCAGCTGATGATGATGCAACGGCAAATTAGGAGGATTGAACAGAGTAAGATGACGATTGTCGAAGTTAAGAGGCAATTAGGTGAGGTTAGATTGCGATTAACGGAACGCAAAAAAAATAAAGTCTATGGAAAACGGACGAAGCAAGTTTATAGAAAGCTGAGAAGATTAGCAGGTTTTGAAGAAGAGATAAAGGTTTTTGATAACGAAGTTGAGAGTTTTTTTGAGACTGCCGTCAACTATCTGGATGATTGGCTTAGACCGCTGGAAAAGTACGAAATTTTTATGTGGATGGACCTGGACAAGGCACCAAATGTTGAAGAAGTGGCGAGGACTGTGGGTTACTTGTCAGAACGTGGGGTTGAGGTTAGTGATGAGTACGAAAGTGAGGTAGCATGTTTGAGGGGATTCGTCGAGAAAATGGCCGGTGTTGAGTGGAAGGAAAAGAATGTTCACGAAAGGTGGTCACTTTTTTTTAAAACCGAGAGTGGTAAGAAAAATTTATTAAGAATTTGCCAGTATTTGTTTGCTATTCCGGGTCATAATGCTAATGTTGAACGGGTGTTCTCGTTGATTGCTGCTCAGTGGACTAAGGAAAGAAACTGCTTGACTGTTGAAACTATTGAGAGCATTGTTAAGTGCGTTTTTAATTATAATATGAGTTGTACGGATTTTTATAACTATGTTATGAAAGAAGAGGTGTTGTTGAAAAAAGTTAAAGACTCTAATAAGTATGAGTGGTCGAAAAAATTTCGCGAGGAAAATTGTTGCTGACTGAGAAAAGTGATTTCACAGTCGACTCTGTCTAAAGGTTCTCTTTCTAAAGATTCCCGCTGTCTATAGGTTCCAGAATACATAGGATACATTCGTTAAAGATTCCCGAATGTTCCCCCATCCGCTTTCTCGACCGAAAAATCACAATTCGGCTCTTTCACAGCAGGTTCTTTTTTAATGCGCAAAGTTTTCGTTTTAGCGCGCACCTTGGTGCTTAAGGGGAATAACTTTTTATTATATTATAGGGGAAGTGCTGATGGTGGGGAGGAACCTTTAACAAATGGTCATGTCCCGGCCTGGAACCTTTAGAGAGAGTCGACTCTAATTGAAAATAGCGAAATTTGAATTCTTTTTAATATTTTTGAATATTTGCAATACTTTTGGGTTTTTTCTCTTATCGAGAACATTGTCAATCGTTTTGAATTCTTTTTTCTAATAAGGGAGTAATTGTTGCTTAGGTAATTGGTATATTTTCTTGAATTTGATTATTAAACGCGATAAATTGATGTTAGAGTGAATTTAATTAATTAAAATACCGATTAAGATAGTTCCAATAAAAATGGAATGTACGTACCTCCTTGAGTTAAAAAGTGACTGTTACTGTTTCTATACATTAATATTAATAAAGAAGTACTTACACTAGCACGCACCGCCATCTATTAATCGGAATTAGAACTTCTTTGAATCAACTACGATGGTAATCCTTACGGATTTTATTTTGGGGCTTCTATCTGTTTTATTGAAATACTAGAATTTAATTTTCGCGCGCAAGCGCGCGCGTCATATTTATTGTCATGATATATTTATGTATATTATATTTACTTTCAACCAATCAGAATGAGAATATTTATTTTCGACCAATCACATCACGAATAAATTGGTTTCACATACATTTCATCTCAATTTTACTATGGGATAATAATGATGATGAAAAATCTGTACAAGCCGTTTTTTTAATTGTAACTTTTATTTTTATTTTGCTCACGTAAGTTATAATTAATTATATCCCAGACAACATCCAAGTCAGAAGGATTTCTTTTAAAGATGTCTTTTCAAAGACTTCCTTGAGAACTCCAAATATGACGTCTTAAAGACCTCATTTTTCGGAACTCTTAATTAAGAAGTCTTTAAGAAGTTTTTTTTTTAA